TGTGGGGCTGTCACAGTGCTGGGCATGTCCCACCCTGCTTGCTGCCTCGGCCTTGTGCAGGACTGGGGCTGCTCAGAGCTGACCCAGAGCATCCTCTCCTGAGCAACAGGGGGTTTGGGTCTATTCCAGAGCCCCCAGCCTGGTGCAGCCTGTAACCCAACTTCCATGGGGACTGGGAGGGCACATTTCCCTGTGGCAGGGACTGATTGTGGTCCCTGTGCCTTTGTAGGGTTGTCACGGGGGTGCAAAGCACACAGCACCCCAGGGAAAGGTGACCAGGGCAGCTTCCATTGTCTCCCACAGCGTCCTGCATCCCAGTTCACAGCTTACTGGGAGGCACTGGGGCTCCAGCCCCTTGGGGTGATGCCACCCCCTTGGGGGAGATGCCACCCCCTTGCTGACGAGGGACGTGGCCGAGTGGTCCCCAACATGCAACCTCTGGGTTTTCCTGCTGTGAAAACCCACCAGGTGCTGGGGTGGAACACGGAGCTCCTGCAAGGCCAGGCAGCTGATAAGAGCCCGCTGCAGCCGGGCTCTCTGCAGCCCTCATGTATATTAATCGAGATGAATATTTATGCAAAGTTCCTCTCGCTGTGAACGCTGCTCGAGTGCAGGCGTGATTTGGCCTCTGCTGCCGGGCTGGGCAGTGAGATGGCTCTGGTGGATGGAGGTGGAAAGGAGCTGGGGGTGGGATTGCTCCGTGCCAAGCTGCTCTGGCTCAGGGAGGATCTCCCAGCACGCTGGGATCTGGAGGGATTTATCCTTGCTGAAGCCCTGGGGTGGAGCAGGGCTGCTTTGTGGTGCATGGAGACCTGGAGGTGAAAATCCTGCAGTAGTCCAACCGATGCTGTGCTTGTCCCTCAGTCCTGCAGGCCCAGGAGGCAGCTCAGCACCTCACCAGGTAGAAACTCTCCCAATTTCTCCGAGAAACTCTCCCAGTTTCTCCCAGAAACTGTTCCCAGTGTCTCGAGTCCTTCGTGCTGCTCTGCCTCGTGCCGAGGCATCACCTCTCCATTGGCACAGATGGACATGGATCAGCCTCGATCCATCCTTCGGTGCATAAAGAGCCTGGAAATACCAAAATGAAGATGCTGAGCTGAAATCCATCTTCCTGGGCACAGTGACTCCATCCATAGGTCTGGGAGCCATTTGGGACAGGCTGTTGGCTGCGCCGCCACGGCGGTGTCCTCCGTCCGGAACAAACCCCAAAGTGAAATTTATTCCAGGGCTTGTTCACATCCTTCCTCTTTGTCTCATCACTTGGGCTTCCCTTGCTCTTTTTCCTTGGCTTTTCTCCCTGCCACCAGCAGCAGAAAACTCCACGTGAAGGGCCCTGGGAAGAAGCAGCAGCCGCGGGCAGCCGGCACAGGGCTGGTGCCTCCACCCTGGTGATGGGTGCCGAGCGACTGGCGAAGGCTCCTCCGCCGGCACTTGCTGCCTCTTCCCATCAGAGCAGCTCATCTTGCAAACCAAACTTCCCTGTTTATCGCTGGTTTTGTTTTTCCACTGGAGCAATTCGCAGTGAAGTTTATGGGAAGCGGTTCAGACAAGTGGCTGCCGTTACCGGCTGCTCCGGGGCCTCGCCCCGTGCTTCCAGCCAAGGTGCTCCTGCTAAACCTTTCTGAAAAGGTGCTGCTCCCTGCCTCGCTCAGGGGAGATGGTCCCTGGGGATTGGGTCCGTTGGGGGCCACAGGAGCTCGGGAGCTGGTTGAGCATCCCCACATCCCTCAGGCCGGGAGGTGGAGTTGACTCTTCCCTGAATCCTCACCCAGGGCTGGGCACAGAGCAGCTGCCACCTCGGTGGCTCTCCCTGTCCCTGATTTCTGTGCCAAACGAAGGGGAAATAAGAGCTCTCTGTCGGAAGCGCAGCAGTGCCGGGTGCCTGGGGAGTGCCCGCCCGGTCCCTGGCTGTCCCGGTGTGCCCGTTCCCCGTGGCAGTGCTCGCCATTCGCGGCGCCAGCGCCTGCACAGTGATGGCAGCGGCACCAGGGACCTTGTGTCAACCTGGCGGGTTATTATTGCCTTAATGGACGGGTCTGATTCCCATCCAGCCACCACCTCCGCAAACGCTGCTCTAGTGACAGCCTGGGCGATGCTCTGCTTGCACCGAGCCTGGGCCCCCTCCAATCCACAGGCACTGGCCAGGCCAAGAGCCCTGAGCAGTGTTTTCCCCACAGCCCAGCAGCTCGGGGGGGTGAGGAGGAGGGTGGGGGCTCTGGGCCCTCATCATGATCAGCTGAGGACATGCTTTGTTTTGGCTGGGAGGGTCTCTGGTGCCTTCCCAAGCTCTGGCTGGGGGGCTGAGCACGCCTCTTGCCTTGCTTTCAGCTGGGGGTACGGTGGGAATGGAGCTCACGCTGTGCCGGGGGAGGTTTGCAGGGATGCAGCAGCAACGAGCAGCTCCAGAGAGCACCCAGTTGTCCTGGTAACGGTGGGTGCCTCCAGCTCCCACAGCTCAGCCCCCCCAGCGCTGGAGCCCCTCAGCTGTGAGCAGAGTCCCACCTGGGGCAGAGGAGACTTGGCAGGGAGCTGATGTGGAGGCTAGAAGGACTCGCTGGCTGGACAGGCAGCAGCAGGCACGGGGGATGTTACGTGCGCAGCCACGGGCTGTGACCAGGCCTGGTGGCAGGGGGAACTTGTAGGACAGTGGTGTAAGCCAGGATGTGCCACTGCTGGCATTTGGGTCAGGGAAATGACCCAATACACAGGTGTTGTATCCCACATCACATTCCCCATCTCATCCCATGTTGCATGCCATGTGGCATCCCATGTGGCATCCCGCCTTCCTCGCAGGGCAGCGGTCGCTGGTGCAATCGATGCCTTTGGAAATTCCTGATTCCCTCAACCATGCAGACCCGCCGGGCTGCCGGAGCAAACACCTCGTGGGAAGCAGGGAGTGACCCGAGGAGCTGTGGGTTTGGGACTGTCCACCCGCAGAGCTGTGCTGAGCTGTATTCACAGAGCCGGGTTCGGGAATATCCTCCGGCTCTGTCGGAGCTAATGCTGCTTTTCTCCCCGGGATAAAGACCAGCCTGAAAAGCTGGTGTGCTTTCTTCCAGCCTTGACCCCCAGGGGATGAAGTGTCTGTCTGGGGACACTGGGTCAGGCATCCAGAGGCTGCAGAGGAGGACTGGGAAAAGGGAATGCCAGGGAGGGAAGGAGCTGAGCTGCACATCTCGGGTGGATACGATCCTGCACTTCCAGGGGATGGATTAGGGCTGGTGCTGAGCCACAGATTCTCAGGGTGCTGAGCAGTGATCCCAGTGGTGCCTCCTGCCCTCTCCCTCTGCCAGGCTCAGTCCAGATGGAGGGCACGAGGGACAGATCCGTGCACCCCCGCGGTGGGTACAGCACCCACAGCACGGGGCAGGATGTGTCCAGCAGAGGTGGACAGGCAGCAGTGGGAATGTGCTGCATTCCCAGCTGCGCTGCTCCCGCAGCGAGGCAGCCAGGCCGTGCCGCATCCCGCTGAGCTCCTCCTGCACGGCTGGGGCTCCGTGTGACCCCGTCCCCTCCAAGCCAGAGCTCCCGGTGCTCCCGGCGAGCTCTGCCCCAGGCGGCATCGGGGCTGCAGTGGAGCCCCTGTGCTGGCGGCTCAGTCGCCCACGGACCACCAAGACACTCAGGTTTATCCCACCTGTGCACGGCCTTAAACACGTGAAACCGCAGCTCTGCAGCCCCCCAAGCACCCCTGTGCCTCTGGGGGTCCCACAGGCTCCGTGTCAGATGCGCTCGTGCCACATTTGTGCAACCACGGGGTGTGACAGCCCCGTCTCTCAGTCTCCCTGCGTGCCATGCCCCCTTCACCCCACACCTCCTGCACCCCACAGCCCCCTGCACCCCTGCAGAACACGCCACGCCGAGGCCTGCATGTGTGTGCAGGTGGGGAGCACACGCAGGGGGAGCTGCAGGGCCGCTGGTGGGGAGCACACACACCCCACACAGCCTGGGGTGCCCCACAAAGACCCGGGGTGCCCCACACAGCCCCGGGGTGCCCCACACATCTCTGGGGTGCCCCACACAGCTCCGGGGTGCCACGCACGTGTGTGTGCCACACCACAGCACCCCCCCCCCCTGCAGAACACGCCACGCCGAGGCCTGCATG